AAACGCTTTTGGTCACCTCAAAATTCGAGTCTTCTAGAAGGATCTCTCGGCCTACTGCTGAAGAGCGGGAAGCGCCCGCGCTCACTCTGCCGCCTCTCGTTTCGCGTATGGTCGCTCGCCTCGTCGTTATCGAGGGCCTCGCAAAAACTACCGTCGTTCCGCCGTCAACAGGTAGGTTAATGCGCCAAGTGTAATTGTGTAATAATCCGTTTGTGATTCGTTTGTGAACTTCTTTATTTGTACAATAAACTTGTGGGAAATTTCTTGATTTTTCTTGTTCGCGCTCAGACCGCTCTTCACTTTGTGCCCTCGCGTTAAATCCGCTCGCGAACAAAATTTTAATATGTAAATTTTAACATGTATATGATGACTGAATGTTTTAAAATGTCTAGATTCATGTTTTTTACTTTTTTCTATGTTAGTGACCCGTATTCTCATTTGTCTCTTTGTCTAACCTACATATGAAGTTTCGCAGTCCCCACATTGTATGTTATACAACGTTATTGTTCGATTCTCGATCAGTCTTATCTTTATGTCTTTTTAAATTCTAAAAAAGATTTAAACTTTTGCAATATTCCTGAAGAGGATACCATTTTAAGCGTGTAAAAAAAATTAGATCAATTTTCTAAAAAATTATAAAACTTGATCTGAAGAATTCTGATATTTATATAAAAATTCTAAGAAGAATTTTCATCAAAATATGTAAAAAACTAGTTCAAATAATTGTATAAAAGGCAGTTTGTCGCAGAAATTGAGCAGCGTTGATACAAAAAATTATTCTGTTTTTTATTCGATCGTCACTTTCGTACTTGTCATTTCAATGAAATTATTTTACCGGTATAATAATTAACCGTCTTTAAGTATAAGCTTTGATTATTTTCAAGACACCTCTATATTTCTTATGTCGGATCTACATCTCTTTTAATAATCGTAAATGTTTTCTTCTAATGATTTTTCGCAATTACATACGTTTTTTTTTAGATTTATTTCTACATTTTTTAGAAAGGCGAATAATGAATGCGTTTTATTATTCTGGGTTTTCTCCGCCTGATGAATCTTTCTTATTTTTGTACTTGTCATAAGTTCTATTTTATACGATTCAATTAATGACAATTTAATCTTATACTATTAGACCTTTCACTATTTTGACTCCGTCTTGACATCGTTTCTCTAGCTGTCTTGTTGTGCCACTCCAGGGGAGTACCCGCGGGGAATCAATTCACCAACACCTTTCGTGATTTTACAAAATAAAGTTTTATTTAAACTGGCTTGTTTATAGGCTTGTTTCTTAACCGACAGTATAACAGTAGTATAATTCAGATTGACCTATGACATCTTCCTTCCTTTCGCTTAGATTTCGGCTCGGTGTGTCCTTGTCGCATCAACATCCCACAATATACTTATATAATTAAGTTGCTACGATCGGATTCTCTATACCGATCGTGCAACCAGATCGCGTTAGAATACTTATACACATATTATATAAATGTGTATGTATGAGGGTGTGTGCGAGCCGTCCGTATCGCTTTCGCATGTCGTGCACGACTTTCGTATTTATCTTTATATTTGTCCTACGCAACAATACTTACATTTAAATAAATAATATTAATTAATATTATAGTAATCGTGTTTCGAAGATCGAGTTCTCGCGTTACATTAAAAGATAGGTACTGACTTAATAAACTTTATTTTGTTATTTGTGCAGTTGCACTTGTGACAGTCTCATATTGCAAAGGAATATATTTCCAGTGATTGTTCCCATTTCCCGGAAGACGATGTTTTGTCTCCAAATATTTCGATGCGACCAGATTCAATCTCAAACAATTTGATCCATCTCCACTTACGATCTCTCTTGCCATTGGCTTTATCAAATTTTTCCCATTTATATTTACTTTTAACAAAAAAGTGGAAACAATGATAGCAGCTTTCATTAGTGTATTTTTCAATTTGCTTTGCTACACGCATGAATCTTATTATTTTATTGTAATATTGTCCTCTAGCAAAAATTAAAATTTAAGAATAAGTTGAAGGTAAAGAGAGATTGATAAAAGCATAAA